ATTTTTCCAAAATTAATGAAGGTGACATGGGATATTTTCATTTAAAAAAGTGTTGAAACCAAGTTTTCAAATTTCAATCATGTATTTTTGTGATCAATGCACAATAAGAAGTTATATCACCTAACAGCTAGGTCAAGATGCAAATTCAATACAAATGTTCTTCATTTATTATGAAAAAAGTTACAGAAACTTTAGAAATGCGCGAGTTTGAGAAGTGAGTACATACTTAAGTGGAAAAGTTTGATCATGTATTTCCGCCATCTTTTCAGAAAATTTGTATGTACCCTAAAGGAGGCTGAAAATGCAAAAAAAAACGATTTTGAAATTTTTGGACTTACGCCCGTATAACAGAAACCGATTCAAATAAAGATGAAATAATGTAAGGCAAATACGAAAATCATGGAATACCAGTTCCACAGCAAATTTTCAAAAGTAGGTGACTAAGAATTATCTCTAGAATTTGGTGGATTCAAAAGGACTTATTACCTTTGTAAATACCTAATTACAAGGCGCACCAAGTAATACAATTTATCATGGAATTCCATTCTTTTCCTACTTGACTTCGATCTAGTTCTTCATTTCTCTCTCTTTATCCAGTGTGATTCACTTTGTAAAATAAAAACCAAAAATGAAGGACTCGTGGGATGGCAATTTTTCCTTTGGTTTATTTTTTGCAACTCTAATAATTTTGGTTGCAACCAAGGAAAAAAAATGTACTTAATAAAATGACATCCTATTTTCTTTAATGACAGTTACAATCCATAGCTCACGATCGAGCGTTGCTGTTGAATGTAGTTGTTGGAAAAAATATCAAACATTTAAAATTGCCATGTATTTTATACGTTGTTTGTTTCTGACTTGTTCTCACATGCTTTACACACGGATTCTCCATGACTGAGAACATCAAAATTGCGAGGCAACGACGCACAGTAGAAAAAGCTACTGGGCGAAGTCGGACATGGAATTTGCAACTAAAACTGTATAGGTATTTGATTCGTCTGTGGGACCAGTAAATGGGGTGCAATGAGGGATATTTTGATGGGCAAGTTTGCTGAAAGCAGGAAAACCTTTGAGTCGAACGATCTGTGGAGGATTGCAGGCTTGCGTTGTACACTGGTTGGATATTGTGCCTACCGCACCCATAGAGTACATAGTCGTAATGTGAATGGGAGAGCTGGCGCCACTTTTAAGCATTCTCCAAATCCCGAATTCCGAGACTCCTGTGTCACGCTGGGACCCTACCATCCGATGTAGACAAAGAGGATAGGAATTACTACGTATTCTAAATCGCCAGTTTGGATGGAAAATGTATCGAAAAAGTGACCGAAGCTCGGCGCAAACTGGGCTTAAAACTCATCGATCAGAGCATGGCGCCAGCTCTCCCATTTACATTACGACTCTATGTACTCGTTCTCTATGATCGCACCACGGGTGGTGGGTCTACACCGAGAAATTACAACGATTGAAGCGCGCAATGCATAAAGTATTCCTACAGTCTTGCAGGCGTTAATATGCATCTCATACCTATTGACCGATTGCGCTGCGTTTGGCGCAATGCGAGAAGTATCCATGCAGTCTTGCAGGCCCTAATATGGGTTTAACGCCTAATATCGGTTTGGCGTGATTGTTCGAATTCGCGTTAGAATAATCGCGGCGTAGAATAATGGGGCATGAGAGGCCAATGTCTCGATGCCGTATGCGCATTCCAACGTTGTCTCGTTTCTCCCGATAAAATATGTTTCCCAAGGAGAGATAGGAAATTCCTCTGGGTATTTCAGCTTTTTTAGATTGAATGGACCGCTAAGCAGGGTACGAATTTAAGCAGGCATCTGTGCGATTGGTATAACTTGGTGTTAAATAAGAAATCGCTGAAAGCTATTTATTAGAACATTGGTAGAAAACTGCTTGGATATTCAATCTTCAAGATATCTCATACAAAAAGGATTGCGTCATGTCAAGTCTGATAATCTTTGAGATACTTTTCAGATGTCCTGCTTTTCGCAGCTTGAAGCACATCAAATTAATAAATAAGGAATCTTTCAGAGTGGTTGAGTTCAGAAGACTTCTTAAGGAAATCTTTAAGTTGTTTACCAGAGGGTCTGCCATTAATAAACAGTTCGTAGATAAATCTGGGAAACTACTCAAAGGAGTGTAGGCGTTTTTCTTACATTTCGGGCAAGCTTGTAGATTTCTTGGAGTGCTGCATTCTTGCTGAGTGATTTGATTATCTGCGATAGACATCTGAAGATGTGATTGCTGCCGCAACCTCTCGAAGATATCTGAAAGTTACACGAAAAATTTCAGATTTCCATGGTATCTTAGAGATATCTTAAAGGTAGTTTTAATTTTTTTAAGCGTCTTTAAGACATCTTGTAGCCGCTTTTGGCGGTCAAGGCGAGTGAATTTGGTCTCAATAAGAAAAATGTTTACTGGGCACATTTAAAAAAATTGCAAAATTTGCCGCCCCCTAAATTTTCCGCCATGTGGCCACCCCTTAAATCCGGCCCTGGACAATATGCAGTATGAAAATATGACAACCTCGCAATCTCTCCATCACGGCTCAGCTATTTTACGTGTCTCTCTATTTGGACACAAAGTGGGGAAAAACACTGCTTATTAAAAAGTCTGCTAGAGCTTTTTTAGGGTGCAATTTGAGTCAAGGACTCTCTCGTTTTCTGTGTGAGTAGGGAATTCAAATTTTTCGTACAATATATACTACATTTTTGTATCTTGGTGCGACCGTATGGCAAAAATGGCAAATTCCTGGGGGAATATGACTGTTTAAGCCTCCCACGTTTCCTACTCATTTTGCACACAATTTGCCCGGGTGATCAACTAGAAACTCAAGCTATCATACGTCTTGTTGGCTCTATTTGGTTGAGTAGAATACTTATGGAAGTGAAAAAATTCGAATAGGGGCAGCAGGAACTATGAATTTCGAGCGCCGACCACTTTAGACCTAACATCCTCACGTTAACATGCCTACTACGGATAACGTCGGAATCATCGTTGCAGATAAGTCTACAGCTCCAATGCTACAAAAAAAGATTAAAGTTAAGATTGAAAGTTAAAGTCAGAATTTTCAGTCGCGCAATTCGTGTTCCACGTGAAATCATGAAGAATAAACGGATATTAGAATGCTTATACCCGTACTAGGGGGCTACGCGGCCCAACCCCCTGAAGGCGCTCCGCGCGCGCCATCAATGGGCCGCTTCGCGGCCCTATTTTTACCCTCCTATCGGTGTTAGTTTTATTTTTCCCCTAAACAATTACGATATGAGGTATACTTTAATTTTAAACTTTACTTAAAATTACTTTAAAATTAAAAGGACGCGTTTTGGAATGACTGCTTGATGAAATATTGCAGTAAAACAATGAACAATGATAGTTATGTAATATTTAAGGTTTCACATGTCGGGGATCGAACCCACACTGTTATCAAAGCGGACGCATTAGACGTCTTTAGACGACTCGGCCACCGCTCGACATGAAGTCGCAGATGCGAATCTTGTGTAAATAAGTGAAGAGCTGATGCGCAGGCTACCCAGCTACTGCGCAACCTCCTCGACCATTGCGCATCCTCCCGCGCATAGCGGTAGCAGTACCGGAGCATTCTGTAAACTCACTCACTTTTATAACGTGATTTTAAAAAAACCTGGGTCCTTTTTCCAAAATCTGATTGCAGCGGGCTCATCTAGGGCCTATTACCTGTCGATTTACGCAAAAATCATGGAAATCGGCCCGGTAGAACGCTCAAACGAACTATGACAAAAAGTATAAATTTACATTGTTTAAATGGGAGAATTCGCAACTTTACCACGTAATATAAAAAAACCTGGGCCATATTTTGAAAATCTAAAAAAAGTTGGCTTATCTAGAGGCAATTGCCCGTCGATAGCCGCAAAAATCATGAAAATCGGCCCGGTAGAACGCTGGAACTAAGCGTTACCAGTTTCGCAAAATTAGGAGGTCTCGGAGCTTATAGTATAGAAGATACCTCGTAAAGTCGTTCATTGTGTTTCCCAATATTTGCAACATGCAGTCCAGATCACGGACGCACCTGTACGAGTGACGATAGGCAACTGATTAACAGGTTGTTGCTCGAAGCTCGACAAGGGCGATAACTATGAATAATGTGATTGCACGGAAAAATGGATCGCCGACTCAACAATTGAATTGTTAAAAAAAATATCCCCGACGTGTTTCAAATGTGCATTTTACAATAGTGGAAAGCTAAATTTAACCACAGAGGTAATTAAGTTACTTAGCAATTGTAAAATCTACATTCAAACATGTAGGACACTTTTTCAACTATAAACATGTTAAATCAGCCATATCATCTTTTTCCATGTGCTTCTCTGAACATTCTCTCTAGAATCAATCTCAGCCGTATTTATACCCTCTTATGATGGCCGACATTCCAGCCAAAATTGATGATAGAGGTCTTGACCGCAATTTGGTCGATGATCTATTTTATTACTTGAAAAATGTTTCATTTAGATCGTAAGCAGCTTTCCGAAAGTTTCCCGAGATTGAGAGGTGGTAGTAACCTGGGTGGAGGAAGGGGGTGCAAAAGGGCGGCCAAGACGAGGATCTGGAGAGCGAGAGGAAAATGAAACTTTCCAAGCAGGCGGTTACCACAATTAAAAACATTAATCACAACTCGGAACGGGGAGGCGGGGCAAGTGGTGCAGAAACCGCGCATGTGCTGTTGAAAACCTGAGGAGTTATGGGGTTTCTCCGAGGGTGGAAACGCGGGAAGCCGTACGAAGTCGTGGCCGGTGGAAGCAGAAAGTATTCAAACAGGCGTCGTGAAGTTTGGCAATACTGAGCTCGCATCGTTTGAACGTATGTTAAACCATCGATATTTATCGAGGAAAGTTGCCCCACTCAAAATCGATTATTTAAGGCAGCTTTAAATGGAGGGAAAAAAACAGTGCTGACAACTTGAGAGGATGGCCGGGCCGCTGCACTAGTAACCCCATTCCTCCCCGCTTAGCATTCATTCGTCTGTCGAAAGCTGACGGGCCAACTCGCGTCAACATCCAGCGCGTCTTGTTGGGTAACTCCGTCGAGTTTTCACGGTTTTACATAAGAGCCGCCGTTCAATTGGCCCTCAATATCGAATCTTAAGTACTTTAAACAAAGTGTATCGTGCCGTTTTTCGAGGGGATGAGTGCATCATCCTGGAACCACGGTTAGTTCAACAAGTTTAGTAATGTTGCTTTGCTTTATTCTCTTAAAAATGAATTAAGGAAAATACAAGTAGAATTGAATAGCCTCAAAAGCCTGTGCTTATGATTATCAGTTTAGGATCCCTTGAATTCTGTACCGCGGAAGTATTATCAGTTGAGCAATTTGTGTTCAGTGTGGAAAAAAATATTTTAAGATTTCGAGGGGGTTTAATATCGAATTTTCAGTTGCTCCTTAAAAAGAATCTTTTCTCAAGGAAGCCTTATGGGCTACATTGTGAAGTATACCTTCAGTGCAGCAGAAAACGGGAATGTCAACGAAACTTGAATACAATTGAATAGTTTATCTTTGTCAATAATTTTTTTCGACGGAGCACAATAAGTATCCACCGCGAAAAATACAGAATATGGAAGAATATATATTTGCAAGTCTTGCATATACCCATATGCAAAAGTGCGCTCTATCTCCCGTGGCTTATCTATTGCTCTCGGATTTTATTATGAAATGCTTCTATGACATAGAAACCTCTTTCTGAAAATTTTAAGTCCCAGGAATTTGTTCCCGAGTAATAGCAGCGTTGCCAAACTGCCGCTTAAAACTTTCGGTAACTTTTGAATCAATGAAAGTTATTCACTACTTTGCGGTTTTCTCTAAAATTTGTTGAAAATTGTGAATTTTCATTGAATGTTTGGTTTTCGGATGAAGCCTTATGGTAAATTGACGATACTTCTCTTTTTCGGATTTCTGATCTGTCAAATCTGACAATGTAGATTGGTGTTTTTGTTTGTGAACAAAATTGAACCAATTAATTATTCGTCATATTTCGTATCCATCGATTTATTTTTATTTTCTAAGAAAAAATTGATATGAAAGTTGTTGGTAGAAGTATAAGTTACGCTCCACTGAGTTTCTTTAGTGCGGACGTACCGAACAAAGGGCCACAAAAAACGAAAGGACGAGATCGAGACGCACCAGTCAACAGACACAAGTTGGTTGATCAAGGATGCCACCTTGAGTGAATGGTTAGATTTTTAAAAAAAAAAAACTAATTCTCGGAAATTTTGAACTTTAACTGTTCGTCATCGTCGAAGCCTCGGTTATGATGAAAATCTAACGAAAATTTCGGGGTTTTTTTTCGTGCCAAGAAGTACCGTATTTCGGAATAATCCATTGGGAAAAAATCGAGGTGCGAATTTTCTGTCATATTGACTCTCAATCGGCCACCAGTTTTGGAACGAATTGAGCTAATAATGACTTCGGGTTGCAGCGGAAAATTTTATTTATTTATGTTCCTTTTTATGATGTATCATAAGAGGGGTCTTATGGAAACCCCTCCTCCAAGGGTGCCAAAGAGTAGCGTCCTTTCACCTAGGAAGATCCTCCTGGGTTCAAATATTTACCTTAATAAGGTACAAAGTAAGAGGGATGATGGATGGGACTCTAAGATCACCTTGTACATAATTTTCAGCGAATTCAATATGTTTTTCATGACATTTTGATGATAAAGCTTGTTTTGTGGTATTTAAGTTCAGTTCCATTCGTTTCTAGTGTTTCTCGTCTGTTTTTGTCAATAGATTTTTCCGGAGTTCGGTACTTGGCGAGAAAAAAACGAACTTTTCGTTAGATTTTCTCGTTGGCATTCCATAAAAACCCGATGAAATTAATGTACTGAAAAAAATGCTCTACTCTGATCTGTCATTTGCTATTCGTTGTAGAGTTCTAGTATAGAAGGTAAATGACGACGCAGAGCTGTTTTGGATGGTCGTTGGAACCGACTGCGGTGGAAATTCTCGATACAAGAGGATCCACTTTCCTCGCAAAACAGATGCACTCACATCCGGACCCGAATGCCACCTTAAGCCCGGGTTTAAAATCTGCCGTAGAGGAGGCTGCGTTGTCGAGAATAGCTCATCAGAAGCCATTCAACTTCTGTAAGTAAAGTTCTATGTACTATTATGCGAATAATCTTTTGGAAGAAACAGCGGACTCCTCTCACGCAGGAAGGGCTAATGAAAAATCTTTGAAAAAAATCCCACGAATATATTATCTTCTGTAGCATTACCTACTAAAAAAAACTGTGAACAAACCATTTAACTTGTGACTTAAGAAAGCAGGAATATGAACTGATTACATCAATTAAAAAGCCAGGCTTGGACTGCGAACAGTTATTCCAGCATGACGGAAATGTAAATTGCATACACACAAAAATGTAGGCACTTGACCACGTTTCCACTTACAGCAATGTACTTACGCTGCGCGCCTTCTAGTGTTAGTTCTCTTCATCCGTGCTACAGAAAACCCCTTAGGAGCATTCGAATGTTGCTTCATCTTCCCCGATAAAACATTCATTTTTGAGAATTATGGGCATTTATTTGTATTATCACCCAATTAAACGGCTATTGAAACTCCGTGAAAAACTAAACAGAACCTTTGGGTTCCGACTCGGGTGACGGAAGTTCTGGTTTGAGAGCAGAACTTTGGTTGAGCTGAGGAAAAAGAGAAAAGTGAGAAAAAGTGCGCACGTAATTCTTAACCGGAGGCGCAAAATGGCACGAAAGTCACAATGTTTACAGTATAAAAATCTAAAATCCATTCCTTCGTGTGCCGTTTGTGTAGCTTGGAACAGGCTATCTCTAATTCCCCGTATCTAGAGGCAGTTTCTAGTCACCGTATCTGAAGACGAGCGACGCGACGTCGCAACTCGCAGTCACTTCCAGCTAACGAAAACTAACGTATCCAAACGTATTTATCAAAATTACGTACAGACTCGGCATGTACTACTATGAAAAATCACGTTCCGCCAGTAAACAAAACAAATGCCGCACAAGAAGGAAGAAGGAATCGGCAACCTCCGCAGCATTCACCGGGGCCGCCTTTACCGTATGCTTGTTTCCAGTGACCTAAGAAATTGC